ATTAGTTTTTGAATTACAACCATATAAAAAAATTGATTTGGTCGAAAACTGGTTTTGCGTAAAAATTCCCGTTTTTCTGTCATTTTTTTTTTGTTTTTCTCGATATTTTTGTAAACTGTTGGAAAATGTTTACATTTGACCTATATAATGTACCAAGGATATTCACTTTTACATCTGAAACCACCCCCAAAGTTTGAAATTGAAGCATTATTTCGACTAGTTATGCTGTACACAGACACACACAAAAAAAAAACACACATCATTGTAAAATTAATACATTCATCACTTCGTTCAGAATCTAAAAACTAATAATGATCGAAATTTGCAAATACCTATGAATAGTTCAATTTAAGTCGAACATTTTTGAAAATTGCATGGTGGATAGAATTTTCCTTTATAAACATTCGGTAAAAATTTCTGATTGTGCGTAAAATTACCCGTTTTTCCCTTAATTTTTAGTTTGTTTTTCTCGATTATTTAGAAAAGTATTAAGAATATTCTAAAAAARTTTACTTTCGACCTCCCCAAAGTACCAACTAGATTCACTTTCTGATCAAACGAGGTACTGAAGTCAAAAATCAAAGCACTTTTACTGCCCCAAAACGTGATGACAGACACTAAAAAAAATATTCATGGTTTTGACAAATTTTTGTCAATATTTGAACTTCAAATGCTAATAAAACCCCTTTGCGTCTATTATATTTGATTAGGCCAAAAAAATTTTACCGACACTTCAAAGAAAAATTGAAAATTTCAGTTGTCTATAAATATCTCAAAAAAAGTCAAAATATTTTGAAAATTAAATCATTTAAAGAAAATGCCAATCCAAATAACTGGTAAAATTTCCAAGTATCTACGACTTACACATTTCAATCATTATCGTTACGCTATTTCGTAAAAATTTAAAACTCAAACGCACCTAAAATTGTTCATATAATGATTCTTCGAGTTTTCTCTATAGCTACTTGAAGAAAAACTTATGGAAAACATAGTGTTGTATTTTTAATCCTTAATAATAAACTCAAATATTTTTTTTATTTTTCATCTTCAAAATTACTTGCAAATTTTCGCGTTTTCGACAGATTTCGTAAAAATTTAAACTTCAAATGATCATAAAAAAAAATTGTGCCTATGTATTCTGATAATTTTTTAATCACTATAAGAATAACTTATGAGAAACTTTGTTTTAAATTTTCAAGTATTTTGATATGGCCAAAAAAATTTTATTGACACTTCAAAAAAAAGTTTTCAGAAAAATTGAATATTTCAGTTGTCATAAGTTTTCCTTCAAGTAGCTATAATGAAAACTCGAAGCATCATTATAGGAAAATTTTATGTGTGTTTGAATTTTAAATTTTTACAAAATAGGGTAACGATAACGATTTATCCTCAAACGATTTTAAATATTTGTTATTATTCAAAAAGTATAAGTAAACACTTGAGAATTTTACTAGTTATTTAGATTGGCATTTTCTTTACATGATTTAATTTTCAAAATATTTTGACTTTTTTTGAGATATTTATAGACAACTGAAATTTCCAATTTTTCTGAAAA